TTCGCCAGTCATCACAGCCTCTGCCTTTTGTTCATGTGACTGCTCGTGTTGACCCTAAAGACTATGACCGCTTTGGCATTGACTGTAAGATCGTACAAAACCAAAGACAGCCACCATCACAGCCATGGCTGACACAGGCTGCCTAGCTGGCATTAGAGTGCTACATCGGCTCGGCATCTCAGAGAGACATTTGATCCCAGTGACTATGAAGATGCATGCTGCAAACAATGTCGGCATAAAAACCCTTGGAGCAGTCATTCTCCGCATATCTGGCAAAGGAACCAAAGGTGAAACCTATGAAACTCATCAAATAGTGTAGGTGACTGATAACTCTGACAAAATATTTCTAAATAGAGAAGCGTGTGCATCACTTGGCATGATTACACAAAACTTTCCAACTATTGGCGAAACACAGAAATCAGCCATGAAATTATAGACACTATCAGCCAATCTGTGTCCTCCCCATGTGCACAGGATGATCAAAACAATCCTGCACAACACAGTTCACAATCGACATCTTCCATGGAATCTACACCAACCTCAAGTACAGACAGTGACAAGTGCAAATGTCCCAAACGTGAAGCACCACCGCCTGCACCATCGGTTCTGCCGTTCCCTGCAACTGAAGCGAACCGCGAGAAACTTCAACAGTACCTACTAGACAGGTACTAATCCAGCACCTTCAATACATGTCAGCATCAACCACTTCCGCACATGGGAGGACCACCGATAAGGCTCATGGTAGACCCTGATGCTACACCTGTTGCCCACCACACACCCAGTACCATTGCACTGGCAGGACGAAGTGAAAGCAGGCTTAGATCAGGAAGTTCGACTCGGTGTTATTGAGCCTGTTCCGGTTGGGGAACCAGTTACATGGTGTCACCGCATGGTCGTCTGTGCAAAGAATGGCAAACCGAGAGGGACAGTAGACTTTCAGGCACTCAATGCTCATGCGGTGAGGGAAACCTACCACACACAATCCCCATTTCATCAGGCTCGCTCTGTTCCACGTCACACTAAAAAGACTGTCTTCCATGCCTGGAATGGGTACCATAGTGTGCCAATTCGTGAAGAGGACAAACACCTGACCACCTTCATCACGCCATGGGGCAGATACAGATATAAAATAGCACATCAGGGATATATAGCCTCCGGAGATGGCTATACCCGCCGCTTGAATGAAATTGTATCTGACATTCCTGACAAAACAAAGTGCATTGATGACGCTCTTCTCTTGTCGGACAGTATCCAGCAAAGTTTCTTTCAATCATGCAACTGGCTATAAACTTGTGAAAAGAATGGCATCATTCTAAATCCAGACGAATTCGTGTTTGCACAAGATACTGTACAGTTTGCTGGCTTTGAAATTACTCCTGACAGTGTGTGACCATGCGGCCGTTATCTTGAGGCAATTCTGGACTTTCCTTCACCAAAGAACATCACTGACATGAGATCTTGGTTCGGCCTTGTAAACCAGGTGCCATACGACTTCAGCATGACTGACAGGATGCAAGCATTCAGACAACTGCTAAAACCTGGAACTCCATTCTGCTGGGATGACACTCTAGAGCGTCTTTTTCAAGAGTCAAAAGCAGTTATCATCAATGAAATTGAACACGGCGTCCGGATATTTGACAAGAATAAGCCAACTTGCCTAGCCACAGATTGGTCAAAGAATGGCAAGGGATTCTGGCTGTTCCAAAAACATTGCAATTGCTCCAAAACTGCGCCGTTCTGTTGCCGAGACGGTTGAAAGATAACTCTTGTTGGGAGCAGATATACCAGTCCCACAGAATCCAGATATGCCCCCGTTGAAGGTGAAGCCCTTGCGGTTGCTGATGCTTTAGAGAAAGCGAGATACTTTGTTCTCGGATGTGACAAGCTGATCATCGCTGTAGATCACAAACCCTTATCAAACTTTTTGGGGACAGATCGCTAGAGGACATTCCTAACTCAAGACTTCGTAACCTAAAAGAAAAAACTCTACGTTGCAAATTCACAATGTTACACGTGCCTGGCGCCAAGCATCGTGCTGCTGATACTGTTTCTCGCCACCAAACTGAGAAACCTGACAGATGGTGTTAATTGATGATATAGCTTCTGTTAATATCTGCAACAAGAATGAGGTGCCACAAACCATCCCGACACTGAAACATAAAATCCCAGGTGACATGACTGAAGAACTAGACATCTCTTCGAATAGTAGTGAAGCTGTTTTCTACTCGACAGCCTTGTCATCGGTCACATCACTCCAGTGTATCATCAGTTCCGTAACCACCTCTCCACTGTCGATGGAGTCATCATATACAAGGAGAGAATAGTGATACCACCATCACTGAGAACAGACATGCTGACAGCGCTACACTCAGCCCACCGAGGCACTTCATCCATGATGTCAAAAGCAGAAACTTTTGTGTTTTGGCCCGGCATATGCAACGACATCACCAAGCTTAGAAACTCATGCAACCATTGCAACAAAAACGCCCCATCCCAACCCAGTGCTCTGCCGACTCCACCTGTCTACCCTTTGTATCCATTTCAATGTGTTTGTGCTGACTTCTTCCACTACATAGGCGGTAACTACCTGGTAATTGTAGACAGATACTCAAACCGTCCTATTGTTGAAAGGGCACACAGTGGTGCATCTGGTCTTGTTGATTGCTTACAGCGCACATTTGTCACATTTGGCATACCAGATGAACTGTATTCTGATGGCGGCCCGGAATTTACAGCTTCAACAACCAGAGATTTCCTAAAGACATGGGGTGATATCACAGGCTTTCGTCTCTAGCCATTCCACATAGCAATTGTAGAGCAGAGGTTGGCGTGAAGACTGTAAACGCATGATCACAAACAACATTGAACCAAATGGTGAACTCGACACAGACTCCTTTCAGCGTGCAGTGCTGCAATATTGAAACACTCCAGACAGAGACACGAAATTATCGCCAGCAATGTGTGTTTTTGGGCGGGCCATCCGAGATTTCATCCCAATCTTACCAGGCCGTTATCAGCGACATGAGACATGGAGTGATACACTTACTCTGAGAGAAGAGGCTTTACACAACAGACACATGAAAGCTGCCGAACGCTTAGCTGAACATACGAAGCGTCTGCTGCCACTAAGAGTTGGAGACCTTGTCAGAATTCAAAATCAAACTGACCCATGTCCAAGAAAATGGGACAAAAGCGGGACTGTCATAGAAGTTCACCAATATTACCAATATGTTGTACGCACAGACGGATCAGACAGAATCACACTACAATGAAAAAACAGCGTTAAGACATTTTTGGGGAGAGAAGAACATTAATACACTTACTCCATAAATATTCCTCATGCAAGAACAATACATTAAATCAGTCATTTAGAATACTCATAAATGACTCGGGGAGGGATAGAGGATAGTGTAGTTACTTGTCAGTTTATTACTTAGGTCTTACCAACAGATAGTTGATTTGATTTACAATGTTACCTTTTGTATGTTTCAGACCTCCATCATTTTAGATAATAAACCAAAAAATATTTATTTTATCGCAAACTCTTAGGATTATCTTTCAAAAAAATGGAACGAAGACCCACTCATATTAAAAAAAATTTGTTAAAGTATGAAAAAAATGATCGTTTTTCTTCTTTTAAGTCTGTGTATGCTTTTTCATAGGCAAATATTTTCAGTCTTTGTAAGATTTTTGTAAATTATAGAGATTTTACATTAAGTATTCTTTAATATTAAATGAAATATGAAATAAAATTTGGATATAATTGAGATTAAATTTTTCACTTCTTCTCTGTTGCACTATAGGCATTCTGCCCGTCTTATTCTCCCATCTTCTTTGAAATATGGGGGAATACAAGACGGGACCCTTTTGTGATAAAGAATATTACTTATATTAACGGTGTAAATTCCTTTGTTCATATATTGGAGTTTAAGAAAAATAAGTTTGTTTTAGCTGAAACATATGTACATTGCATTTTATTCCGTAAAGCCTTTGATATGCAATATCCATAGCCACAGATCCCAGGCAGCCTGTGATCTGGTGTCGAGGAATTGAAATATGAATTTTCCTTGAAACAACTATTTTAAAGTTTAGAATAGACAGAGTAATTGGTAGTAATTAATGAATCAAAGGAGACATCGTGCATAAAGGTTTATTGTAATACCGATGCCCATGATTACGCTTACGTTTCAGTGTATGTTTAAAAAGTCCCATAACATTTTTTGCCACACTGTGGACATGGAAGGTTTCGACACATTGACATTGTCATTGCAATCATAGAGAATGGCCATACCGAGTTCTTTAATCCAATAATATTCTCATTATCTACAGAAAGGTGTACTCATTGATGGACTGTGCAGTTGTAAATATTTTCTTGAATTTTAATTTTCTTTGATAAAAAAGAGTGATCAGAGCAATTTAAGTGTTTGTATAGAGGCTACTGGCCCCCGTTGTTAATTCTAAACTTATGCCCGACATTCTTCTATTCAGTCAATCCTTGGTTTAACCAACATAAATTAGTCCACAAAGATTACATTCTATTTAAGTAAAGTTGACTAACTAAAAAGATTTTAAATATAAAAAGCACATATACATGTACAACCTTTCTCCACGATAAATAAAAGAATTGAAATTATAGATATATATAACTACTTGGAATTGACCTTGTAATTTTCACATCTTATGATTAGTCAATTATAAACTTATTTGATATATATATACAAATACTTAGTAGTATATGTTAGCTACATGTATAACGCCCCTACTGAGCTTTTTTTCATGGAAATACTTTTCTTAATTTGACTGTAACAATAAAATACATGAACCTATAGATAAATATTTTACCCATTTGAATGAGAAAAAAAACAATACACATAGCTGAACTAATTTGCTTTCAAAAGGTACATGTAGGGGAGAAATTTTTAAGAAACCATCTCTATGTCTTAAATATTGTTTAGTTTCAAAAAAAAAATAAAATTACGCTCTCTCTCTCTCTCTTCATATAAGATGTGGACATATGGGTGTGCTGGAGTATGCGTTGTCAGACACCAGACTTTCTAGGCACGTTGGATGACATTATTTATTCTCGCCTTCCATGCGAATCTTCATCTTCATACCTCTTGAAGGGTAGTGTAAATGTCTTTCTGGGTGCTGGTTTCTTTTCCACTTTGTTATGATCAGGGTTATTTTTAGGATCTGTTGAATAATTAACTCTTCTTATTTTAGGATTTTCTATTGTGGAATCTACAGGGACCTGTTCTCTGTTTACCGTAACTCTTATGTCATTTCTTATGATGGTTGGCCTGTCAGTGTGGTTATTCTGTGAGAACTTTGCTTTTTGTTGGTTGAAGTTTGACAATTGTTTGTTCATTTTACTTGCTGTTGTTTCTCCTCTCTCTCGTACATATGTAAGAGCTGATCTTGGTGGTATTGGTTTCTTCAATGGTGTATTTTGTTCTTTGGAAAAGATTGATTTACCATCACGTACAGTTCCACTTCTCTTGTCCGGCTCTTTTTTTGATAATCGAAATTGATTCTCTCCAACATTTTCCAATTGTACATGCCCAAAATTTGCTTTTGTTGAAGGACTAACATTCAGTCTATCTGCTTCGTTCGCTACAAATGCATTATTATAGCTTCGCTTTCGATTTTTTGATTTGTTATCAAATGGCTTATAAACAGCATTTGAATTGATCCATGTATATTTGTTTTTATTAAATCTTGGTTTTTGTAAGTAACTGACATGTCTCCGCCCTGACCTACTTCTAAATGTTTTTGTGTGGTGTGTAATATTTGCCGTGACATTTAATTTTCCAGTGTTAAACTTTTCATATTCCAAATTTGTGCCTAATTTAGCTGATGATAAGATTTGTGTAAAGTTTCCATCGTGCTCACTTTGTAAAATTTCACTATCTGCTTCCTGAATTTCTTCCGTGAGATCACGTATATTGCAAGTGTTCTCCACCCATCGACATGTCTCTGGTTTGGTATTTGGAATAACTGTGGTTGTTGTGCTGATCTCTGAAGAATCGCCAACGCTACCACTGGGATAGGACAAGATGTCCGGGTGGCAGCAACATTTCAAATGGTTCCTGCACTCGATTTTCCTTGCAATATGAGGATAATGGTCTCGGAGAGCATCCTTAAATACTGAAAAATTACTTTCCCCACATATGGGATCAGAAATTTTCTGGAAAACTTGTAGCCAAAACTCCTCTTTATTATTTTTCCCACCTTTGATAAAATTTTCAAAATCAGAAAGCCTAATAAACTGATGTTCACATAGACAATCCACAATTCGCCTGATTTCTACATTTTGAACGAGAAAGCAGTGGATGCATTCGCTATGCTTTACGTTTTGATTTTCTTGTAGCTTTTTCTCGTATGATGTCTTCAGAGACTTCGCAACATGCGGGTAGAATTCTTGTTTTGAAATTATTTCCAGAAAATTAGAAAATTTTCTTTTGTTCTTTCTTCCCAATACTGATATTAGTTTTCTAATTTTGTCCTGTTTACCCAAATCCTTTAATTCGTCGACTTCTTCATCAGTTAAACATCCAGTCGCTAGCATTTCATCTGTTATGAAGCCATTCGACAGGTCTATGCCTTTAACTAACATTCGGATATTCTCTTGTAGCACTTCACCATGAATACATTCATCCACCGAAGACCCTAAAAATTGAAACATAATTATTATATTTGTTTTTTTTAATATAGAGACGTTTAATCTTAAACTATTTGCTTCAAAGTATTTTTGAAACTTATATTGTCATATTTGTATTTCAAAACATTTTAATTAAAACCTTATGTTGAGTTTTATGCAGTTGTAAATTATCATTTGAACTGATTTATCCAAATGTTCAAGAGAATGTAGCATATAGCAAATGGCCATAAATGATACCGTATTTCAAAATCACTTGCTTACTTCTCCAAGGCACCTGATCCCACCTCTAGTATTCCAAGGATCCGCGCCTGCTCAGAATTCACATTCTCTTCAGAATTATGCGATTGATAACTGTTCGTTATCTTTCTCTTTTCCATTGTTATAAAACTTGAAAAGACTATATACCTAATTGAAAGAGATATCCAGATAAATTAGAAGCAATTGCAATGAATAATAGGATATTAGGATTTTTTTTGAAATCTCTCTTAACTTCAAATTGTCTAATTTTGGGTCAAATAAATGTAACAACCCTTTGAAGATGCATCCACGATTTTTGTTTGTACATACTTTATTTATCTCTGTAATCATATGATGCATGCAAATAATATACCAGGTAATGTTGTTTTTGGTAGCTGTTGTTTTGGAAGAGGTTGTGTATTCTGATTTAATATTATCTTTTTAATCTGTCCGTGAGTATGTTGTTGATATCTCTGAATAATTTTGACTTCAGCCTTCAAACTCCTCTGTTGACGATCTAATCTTTTAATGCTGTAGTCTATATTCTGTATATTAAGGAAAAGAAATGTCAGTTTTTAAGGTACTTCGATCCTCAGTCAGTCAGGATTTCTCTTTAATTTATAATTTGATTCAAAAAGTAAAAAAAAAGTCTCAAAATGAAGATTGAAAATTAAATCTTTTTATACAATTTATCATTTAGTCAAATGCTGACTGACGTTTTTATACTAATGTTAGTCCATTATTTATACACTGAATTGACGACGGATTTTTCTGTAATTTCCCGATTACACGGTAAGTGACCGTCCGGCAGTGGATGCTCACTCCTCCATGGCACCTGATCCTACTTCTGAGGTTTTGGAGGTTCGCGTGTTTTTTCTGCTCCTATTTTGTATTGTTTTACGGACTTTGATATTGAATACTTTTCGTTATTTCCATATCTTTCATGCAACAATTTTTATTTTATACCTCTCACTGTGCTTCAAGGTTCTTTGAAGTTTTCAAAAAAGTCGAAAATTTTACCCAAGAAACGTATTTCAAAAGTACATATTGAAAGAAATTGAGGTTCTTTTAATCTTACCACAAATTGAGATGAAAGTAGAAGTGATTTTATAGTGTTTTGCAATGATAGGAAAATGTGTATACACTGTTCATTGTAAAATGATCGAAGAAAATAGTAGAAACTAAAGTACTTTGTATTTCTTCAAAAGCCTGGGTACCCTTGATTTTTAGTTCTAAAATGTGTTTGTTGACAAAGAATAAATTGAGATGAAAGTTTCTCAATTCTTAAAGTTCATGAAAGCAATATTTTTTTTAATTATATGATTTATTTCATCTTTTACACATTTAATTCTGTATTTCATTGTTTTTAATATTTTATTAATAATTTATTTTTTCACTAATGTTTTAAGATAGGAAAATGTGTATATACGTGCAGGGTTTGGCTGTGCTAACCATTGTAAAATCGATGTCTGTCAGTGTGAATATGAAAGGGTTTGTTGAGTATTTTTTCAGAAACAAAAGTACTTTGTATTTCTTCAAATTTAAGCCTGGATACCCATTCATGTTCATTTTTTTTATGGCTTCTTTTCCAAAATGTGTTTAAAATAAAGTTGTCAAAATTTGTTTTGAAGATGAAAATGCATGATTTTAGTATAACTTTTCCGTGTTGAAAATTGAGAAACATATTGACTCGTATTTCCTCTTTCTTTGATTTGGAAAATGCATAGTAGGTGTTTTCATTCGCATTACCTGAAATATCAATTGAGATTGACTAGTTTTCCCTACATAATATGATTAACTTTAAAGATGAAGTTTGAAGAATTATTTTGGGTAAAGTAAAACCACATTACTTTGAGAATTCAGAGACATTTTTGTGAGCATTTTCAATTTGACATTGCCTGATTTTAAAACCTGAAGATCGGAGTACCTTACACAACAGAAATATCAAAGATAATATATATGAAAATTTTATTTTTGATGAAAGCAAACAACAGTTTATTTATAATACAGAGAAGGTTTCACCACTTTCCAATTATCAATAAGGTCACACGAACTTTCTGAAAATGGATAGCTGTGAAACCCGGGGGAGACTTCAACGTAACGTCAAGTTAGATATGTCACGTCACGTTATAGAAGCATCTCCCCCTAATGTCCAATTGGAATGCGAAATTCTAAAAAATGCAGCCCTTTTCTCTATTTTTTTTTCTCAAGAAAAGTCTGGGTATTTTCTCGCACCAACTTATCTTCATTTTCGCTCATATTTCAAAATATTCCACACCTTAAAAAATTTCCATATGACGTTCCAATTTCAGTAGCAATGTCAAGAACAGTACGTTTATATTTTAATTTTTTAAAAACCTTAAAAAGAGCGTTTATTAACGTCCACGGAAGTTCTCTTTTTCTTAAATTTCTCGTGCCACTGGAATATCAGTAACGAACTCCTTTTTTCCCAGTCTATGTTAATAATATACGCGTTTAAGATAAAGTGATCCCGGGATTATCACAAAACGTATGACTTGACCGATATTTGACGTTGTCTGACAACTTAAAGATGAACAATAAATCACCAACTAATAAATTTAATATTCAGAAAAATCAGTAAAACTCTCACACAAAGGTTTATAAAAGATCAAACAATCGTAATAATGACATAATTTTTTGTTTCATATGCCACATAGAGCGGTTTTATTCTCATTACACGTATTAAGAATTAAAATGATAATAAACGCGTAAATGTCTCCCCCGCATTTCCAAACAACCGTTTCTATGGCAACTGTCATAGAGTTACTATCATAAATATTTAAAATGTTTCTTTATTCAAAATATTCAACAAGTGTCTATATTCTCATTTGTAATTTTCAACCAATTTCACTTAATAATAAATAAAATATGAAGAAATTCCACGAACTCTTGGATCAACCCTCGATATATAATATGAAATTAATTTAATGAAAATAAGTTTATTTGTTGCGGAAGGTTTAGAAAGTAAATATTTTGGATGGATTTATGATTGATAACTTTTCTCTGCTTATTGTTAATTGGGAAATTGAAATAAAAGATACCACAGAGTCTGACAAATCTGTTTATATTTCGATATTTTCTAGAAAAAGATGTTTATATAACAACAAAGCTTTATGATAAATATGATGACCAAGCTTTCAATAGTCAACTTCCTTTACTAATGCAGTGCAGAAAAATACCTTTATCACCTGCACATAGAATTTAAATATCTTGCAGTTGATTCGATACGCAAGAGTATTCTCAATGTAAAAAGTTTCTTTAAAAAGGTAGGTTTTGAAAAACAAGTTGATGAAACAAGAATATTAGCAGCCTCGTGTAAAGTCATTTCGTAAGTTCTGTAGCTAATACAATGACCTTGTCAGCAAATACAATTTATCAAGTCAAATGCTGACTGACTTTTTTTCACACTAATTGTTAGGCCATTATTTACGCACTGAATTGAGAGAGAGAGAGAGAGAGAGAGAGAGAGAGAGAGAGAGAGAGAGAGAGAGAGACCTTCAGTAACAAAAGTATTTCACTCTTTTCCCCAGACGTCTGTTTGTTTGTGGTGATTTTAGCAGGCGCCTTAATTTTGGTTGTACTTGTCAACATGTCTTTGGCAAAATCAGTGGTTTTACTCGGATTACATTTCCTGATGATGCATCCATTCTCCCTGTAAAACAGAAAGGTTTCTAAGTTCACATTTCTGAAAGTTTCCGCAAATAAAATGCTCTAGATTGGCATAAAAAATTCAAAGCTTGTTTTAGGATATTAATTTCGAAAGTCAGAAAATATTAATCCCTGAACAAAAGATCTTAAATAATTCAGGGAAATATAACCGATTTAATGCCAGGCAAACTTATTCTGCATACGCTATGTATTTGCTTTTATGGTCAATTTTGATGCGACTATATTTAATAAAAGTTAATTTTATGTTAAAATCGAAAATCTATGTTAATATATTTATTGCTATAATAGTATTCCAAATGTAAACGACAAATTCCCCCTAAACAAGAAAATTTTAAGAAATCGGTAAGACATACATGTGATACAAAGCAAGTTTACATTTTATCTTCTGCTACTGATCCAACAATAAAAAAAGGTTTGTTAAGCAATAAATCATGAAAATCGTAGCCAATGCAATGTCAATTGTGAAAGTTCCAAATGTGAACACTTTGGTTTTTCATACTGAAAACATTAAATATATGGAGATAACGAACAGTATTAAAGCTAAAAGCCCATTAAGGACAGATGATACAAATAAATTTTTCTTTGGAGGAGACTTGTCATGTCATGTCAAAGGTTTAGAAAAGTTGATTATTCTCCTATTTTCTCCTAAGAACTGGAAAATGAAAAGGACTTGAAAAATATTAGTAATATTTCAGTAAAATTACAAATATGGACAAAACACAAGCAGTAAAGGTTTACAGATGAGAACAAATTTCAGAATATGTTAGCTTGGTGCTATAAATTGGGAATATTTGTAATTGTATTGATATATTAAATTACATGTACATAACTAAGAATTATGCACTTTTCTTAACCTGTGACATGATATTAAGTCTCCTCCAAAGAAAAAAATGTTTGTATCATCTGTTCTTAAACAATACAAAATTGGAGCAGAGCAAATAAGGACCTCCAATAAATAAGCGGTGGGATCAAGTGCCATTGAGGAGTGAACATCTGTCGTGTGCTCCTTGTCATGATCGGGAAATAACGGGAAAATCTGTCGACAATTCAGCCAGTCTGATTAAAATCAAACTTTCAAGAGCTCCCTTTTATTTTCATTCTCACGCGACAATCGAAATAAAAAGAAACCAGTGAAGGTTTGATTTTAAGGTATCCGATCCATAATAGCCCCAGATTCAATGCATCTGAATGCATAATAATAATATATATTGGCTGAATACTCAGTATATGGAGACATAATATTCATGTTTTAGTCTCAATATGTACGAGCGGAATGTATCCTAATTTTTTACCTTGACCCGTTCTTGAAAAGTTATCCCCCTTTGCTTTCAATCAATAAAATTCATTTTAAAAAATTCCATCTGGTGAAAAAATATATTTGAATCGTTTTTCTATTTTTAATAATTATATGCACCTTTCTACCATAGCATTTTATAAAAAAAATATTCATAGTATTTGAATTTTTATTTTAAAAAATGTGCTTGTTCCCATAGACCTCAATGCATTCTTGATTAATTAATTACTGCTTGTGTAATTATATTTTTGAAAATTTCATGGTAAATCCTTTTCTACTCTAAACTGCTTTGAATTGGATTCATAGTATTTTATATAATATAGGATGGATACTTAAGGTTAGAAAATCAGTATGAAAATTTTCAGTAACAGTTTGACTTAATGTTAATTGTATTTAAAGAACGTAGGAGATTATTAATTCTTAACTTTAATCTTTTGATGGTATGAACAATCAGTGTGAAAAACATAAGCCAGCATTTGACACAATAAGTATTTTATAACTATATCTTATTGATGCTATGAGCCTGTAACTATATTAAGTTATTCATTACGTGTTTCATATTATATTGTTAGACCATTATATACACACAGAATTGTCAACAGATTTTTCAATTATTTCCCAATCATTACAAGTCGCACATGGTGGGTGTGACCAGGGGATGCTTACTCCTCCATGGAAAATGATCCCAATACCGATGTTTTGGAATTCGTGTTTGCTCTGTGCCGATTTTTAATTTTCCAATGGACTTTTGAGCTTAAATACTGTTCTTTATCTGCATAAGTTTCATGCATATTTTAAAGAACCATGTACTCTAATAGGCTATGCCTGCTTCCCAATCCGTTTTTTTTTTTGCATTATTGCGTAATAAAATATATTCAAAACAAAAACAACGAAGTCATCGCTACTTCCTATTCTCCTTAGCTAGCTAGAAAAAACTTTATTTCAGCTGCACATACGTGCATGAATAAGATGTTAGCTCATAGAATAGTGTCTTTAAAGATAGATTATAGAAACATGACACAAGTGGGCAGAAGGGTTTCTTTATTTGAAATCCAATATGTGCTGCATACTTGCAGCTAACCTCATTTGCATGGTAAAATATTTGCTGTAAGCTTGTTGCACACTTGCCAGAAACACAAATGCTTTGTAAAAGGTTCACATGGTATGTTAAGCTTTGATGCAACAAGCCTGTAGCAAATGCTTTCAGAAAGGCAATATTTGGGTGAAGGGCATACATACATGCATGCAAGCTGATATTTGTTGAAGCTTTTCCATTCCAGAGAACCTTGTATAATATACTGGTTAAATATATGATATTGCTAAAATGCCTGTCCTGCTTCTGAAGACAGTTATGATGCATTTATTTTGTCCAGTGTAGTTTATTGTATCCAGCGTAGAAATTTCTTAATATGTTTAAATTCCAACATTTATGATTCCCAAAATTTTTTTGGTACATTTGACCAAGTTTAGATCTAAAATAGACATAAAAATATGATTTACTATTATTTAGATTTCTGATAAGGAAAAGATACTCATTTTAATTTATCAAAAGCCAGACGCTAGATTTTATCTCAAAAAACTAAAATGTTAATGAGAGTGATCTCCCATTTCAATATCAAATAGTTCTATAACTTTAATAAAATTCTCATTTCTATAATTAGGAATCAGTGCAAGGCTGGTTAACATATGATTATTCATAAATATATATGCAAGTGAAAATACATTGTCCAATAAAATATAAGAATCAATCAACTTTAAAATATCAGAGTGTAGACATTTTTAAACAGGTCACGCCAACTTTTAAAGTAACCGAATTAGTTAAAATCATCGCGCTTTAGAAAAAAAAACGGATGGCATCTATATTTCTAAAATGCAGTTAAACCCAAGATTTATAAACTACGATAATGACATACCGTATGCTATGAAATAGGCCTAGTTTTAGTTTTTGGTTCCTTGTTGTTGTCGGTAAGGCAGTTTGCAAATGACGTAATCCTGATTTCCTGTTTATTTTGAAACCGCTCTCTTTTCAAATCCAATTTAAGGCACTTAAATCTATTTTTCGTCACATTCTCGAAAGGATATACTTTGTTTTGGTACTGATATTTGGTAGGTCATCAGCTATATATAAGCTACTATTCTTTTTCTCGAGAAAACTAAAAATATCAAGATTTATAAGCGAGACAAAATTTTGCAAATGTTAGGAATCTCACTTGAAATTACAGCAAATATTAAATTTTTGTAACCAATCCTTCTTGCGTAAATAGGAAGAAAAAAAACCATAGGCGCTTCCTTGTAATTCTGTAATTGACGAAAGGTAAGTTTATGTTCTTATTCGTTTCACTCAAACGAACATAAAACATTTATGAAATAAACACAAACTCGTGAAATAGGATATGAAGCGCTCTGAAAGTGCAGTTTAATTATTTCGAAGATAAAGAAGATTAGAACTGACACGAATATCCTAAATGCCCAAATTTTTAGTAACTGAAAGTTTTTCATTTTGATTTTCTTTAACATAACCATCTTTAGAATTGTCTGACCTCCACCGCCCATGCTTTTTAAACAGTCTGTCGCTAACTCCTGCTGCGGCTGCGGAGGTAGCGCCACCTGATCTTAGACTATGGACACCAAATTTACACTTGTCTAAACCAATCTTTTCAAGTGAATTCAATATGATTTCTCTTGCTCTTGTATAAGAAATTGGACGATTATCCGATCTCAGTTTATAAGTTTGGGATTTTTTACAAAATGACAGAGATCTAAACAAGAACAGAGGAGAATGCATGTCAGCGTTTGACAATTTTAAGAACTTTTCCAACATATTTACAGGACAGGTATCACAAAATGTTCTAGCAATACAAACTTTATGACCAGTTTTATAAGCATCTGTTTTACTTTTAACAATGTTAATTTCTACACAATTAGTCTGTATACAGATATCTGAGTAACGAATGTTAACTATTTCTGAAAATCTCAAAATTCCTGCAAAACCTAATAAGCACATACACAATGTTCTTAAATTATATAAATTTCCATCCTCTCCAAATGTAGAAACCAGAGTTTTCAAATGTTCAGGCATTATAGGTTCTTTTTTAATCACTGGTTTTGATGTCTCTCTAACTGCCCCTTCCTTAACAGTTTTTACCAAAGCTGAGTCACAAGGATCTATATAACCTGCTAGGCTATGTGCCCAACTGATGGCATGTATAGCTGAATGTATTGTGCCAGACGATTTACATTGTTTTGCTAAATGGATAATATATAGTGCAACGTTGTTTTCCGAAGCAGGAAGTGATTGAATCCCAGGGTTAAAGCTGCTACACCACTTACAAAAGGTATTAAAAGCGTACCTGTACTGTTTTGCTGCATTTTCGGCCTTAGATGTTACACAATATCTGGGTAGTTCAGACGCAAGTTCCACTAGACGTTGATCCTGTAATCCAAAATTAATTCCCGTCCATCTGCCCACTTTAAATATATCTGAAAAATGTGTTTATTAAAGCAAAAAATTAGCATCTTCTTACTTTAACATATTATATGGTGTATCAGGACCTTCATCATCTGCAATACACCCTCTCTGATGTACCAGGACCACTTGTCATCTGCAATACATCATCTATACATTTGCCCAGCTCGGCAAAAATCTTTGTTTAAAGTGTACCAGGGCCTAAACCATCTGCAATACACCATCATAAACTACAAATTTGTAGCGTCTAAACATACCACAAGTATTCCAGAGCCAAAATATATAGAACCAAATATACAGTTCTTGTTCTGACCTTGACTGATTATCTCACTTGTATCTTTAAACAATAACACATCTTTAACATACGCCTTATAAGATAGTTCTAAATCGAATAACATTGGCCAAAAAACAGCTGAGGACCAGTTAGGTACAATCAAAATACCATAGGCTTTGCAATCTAATAAATGTTTTATAGTAGAAACTATCAAATGAATGGGAGGAACTAGCCAATTGTTTTCGCCCACCCAATTCTGTGTAAAACAATCTACAGCCTCTGATTCAGGATTCCAAAATTTTGAGTTGTATCTAGAAAGTTTACGATTGTTAAAGTTTGCGAATCTATCTACAGAGAAAGGACCAAACATAGAACTAATAAATTCAAAAAATTCATTAGTAACTTCCCAATCATCGTGATCAATAATTTTACTGAAAAAATCTGCCTTTTCATTTTCTGATCTCGGAACCCTTTGAACATCAAGGGAAATTTTATTTTCGGCACACATTTTGAAAATATTATATGCTAAAACTTGTAAGTGATGCTTCATGCTACCAGAGTGTACTATTTTCGCACAACTTTGATTATCTGTAAACCACTTTACTGTCATATTTTGTAGTTCTTTCTTAAAAGAAGCCAACGCCAATTCTATGGCCTTCAACTCTCTCCATGTAGAACTCATACTTTTCTCATGTTCTTTCCACATCAAATGGAACACCTTAGAATTAACTTCAACTGTATATGCACTTGATGCTGAATTACTTGCATCTGAATAAATGATTACGTTTTTTCTTTTAACAGAATGTAAAAATCTTGTACTGTCACAACGCATACATTCTACCCAAAATTTTAGTTCTTCAAACACTTGATCTTTATGCTTGAAAAATAGTTTTGAATCCCATGATTCTTTCAAAGCAATTTCCATAGAAGAAAACCTTGTCATAATATTGCAAATGTTACCCATTACTGGAGTCATAGAAATGATCTTCCCCACTACTCTTGCAAGTTCCCTCGCTGTTACATCGGGAAAATGAGTGATAGTTTTCTGTAGACAACAGATAGCATCATCGATTCGTCTATCCGGAACTGAAATAGAGAATAGATTTGAATTTCATGTTAAACCTAACCATTCAATGACTTGTGTTGGTATAAAATGTGATTTCTCAACATTGACCACCAGACCAACTTCTGACAACGTTTTCTGAATGAATTGAGAATCTAAAAGACATTGGTCCTCAGTAGAAGCGAACGCCAAACCATCATCTAAATATAATACAATCAAAATGCCATTTTTTCTCAAGTATTTCACGATGGGTCTTAAGCATTTAGTAAAAATGAATGGTGCTGACGATAGACCAAAAGGGAGAACCGTATAGCAGTAATACTTGTTTTCCCACTGGAATCCTAAATAAGTCTGATAATTCTCAGCTATATCTATGAGATGATACCCTGATTTCAGATTGAATTTAATACAGTAAAAACCCTTTTCAAAATAATCTATTGCCGTCTTCCAGTCTTCAAATTTTATTTTATCATACTTGACATATTTATTTAGCCTACTGAGATCAAGGATCAACCTCTTTCAGGCGCGTAGCTGCCTATACGCAAGTACGCAAGTGCGTACACATCATTTTCAAAAAAAAGAAAGAAAATAAAAGAAGAAGAAGAAAAGAAAAAGAAAAAAAAAAGATTTATTCGGAGAGAAAAAAAGGCACTATAATCCGTGTTTCAAATTATTTTGCGTCTTATTGTTTCGATTCAAATTTTATTCAGGATGTCTGTGCAATCAAATTCAAAGTCTTTTATAAATTCAAATTCCAAAAACTTATTCCAATATTATTGAGGAAGAGAAAATATAATTGAACCAAAATGTTCAACTGTAAATCCGTTGGACTACTATATAAGATTTTCAATTTCCGTTGAGGTAATAAATAAATGTAGTTAAACAAAAAATGGTAATATTTAAAATACGCTGAACAAAGTACAGAGTAAATAATAATAAAGATCATGTTTGAAAATCTTATTTTGCTGATGTTACCATTTTATAGAATTATTATTTAAGCATTCTCACCTTGTTTAAGCCATCAAGATATATAAGTAAACAAAAGACCCCCTATCCCCGTTTATATTTTGAAATATTTAAACTCCAATGATAACAGTATTGAAATTACTTCTCTGTTTATCTTGTCACGTTTGGAAACTTTTTCCCCCAAAATATATTTACCAATATATGCGTAAAATAATTTGATTTAATTATCGTTCTCTTTCTTAAGTACCCATGAAAGCATTAACTTAGCTAAGTATTTGCTCGAGAAAAGAGATGTAGCCCGATTTCTTTTGCGGGAAAATGACTGAAAAATTTCGTAAAATCCAGGAGCTTCCGGGGGCTTCGCCCCCTGGGCCCTCACCAGACCCCTGACCGTTTTCTGAGTACACATTATTTCCATGCTGGCTACGCGCTTGTCTTTTTGTTTTTGTTTTCGGCGACACTCAGTGGACTGCACACAAATGGCTGAAAAGGAACTTCTAAAATACGTTTGTTTTCCATCAAATCTGAAATCTCTGAAGTAACAAATTCAAAATTGTTAATAGCAGACTTGTTATTTTGAAAACACATAGAAGGAGGATTTGAAACGAAAGGAATTTCATATCCAGATTCAATAACTTTCAAAATAAAAGGATTTGTGCCAATTTCTTTCCATTTGCTATCATTTCTTTTCAAATTGTACTTTAACAATGACATTTGTTTTGAATTATTTTTCTGAAGACATTTCACCTAGCCAGCAAGAGTAGAATAGCTTGTATAACCTGTATACTTATCATTGACTTTGTGACTTGTTTTTGGGGCAGTTGGTTTTCCAGTGTCCAGTGGAAAAACAGTTGAAGCATACGTCGCTGGGCTGTGGTTGACGCCTTGTGAGTTTGCCACGAAAGGGCTGCTGCTGATATGTATATGGCTGAGATGTAGCAGTAGAAGAAGAACCAGAAGTAAGCTGGGCTGCCGAGCCTGCCGCTGCTGTCGCTGTAGAAGCTCTGTAGGAGCCATACGGGTGGAAACGCTTGTTCTGGGCTTGTCTTTGCTGCCTAAGGGCTCGGTTTTCAGCGCTTCTAATTTTCTTCTCATCGTCAGAGTTGTCGGCAATTTCTCTGGACTGATACTCATTTACTGTCTTCCACCCTGCAGGAGATGAATCGGCAATACGAATGTATTTCTGGCGCGTTTTCAGTTTTTTTCCGCAATTCGCCTATTATTGACACTGATTCACTGTCTTTATTTTCGAAAGCTCTTATCTCTAGTTTTTCTAGACCCTCAAGAATTTCAGCATTAAAATCGTACTGAGCGCGATTCCCTTCAGATTTAATCTTAAGAGTAGAGTTTTCTTTAAGTTTCTTAGCAATAGACTCCGACTGTTCTGCTTTAAGCTGACCTGAAAGGTTTTGAAATTGTGACTGCAAAACTCCTGTAACAAGCTTCACCACGTCCGAAATATCCAACGGAGGATTATTATTAGTCTCTAGCAAAATTTCGTCTCCAGAATCGCCCATAATCGACTGAATATGATGAATGAAGAAAAACGTGTAGACTGCACGAAATAGAGCCTTCGAATGGCTTTCCCTATACAAAATTTCTTTCATGGTCACTAATAGCCCGTGCTATGAATATTTATGTCACCTGACAAGGTGACCGTCCTAACAACCAATAGATGATGAGAATAAACAAACACAAACACGTGTTTGCGTAACATTAATAAATACGTATCTATCAGCTGTGTTTGACGGAGTAATGTGTGTAACGAAGAAATAGAGAAATGCTGGAAAACGCGAGAAAGCGGCTGAATGGTGCTGGATTAAAGCTTGCAAATATTTTATTTCAATAAATTAGAGTACCCGATGCTGATGAACAGCCCAGTATAACCTAGAAACTCTTAAAGTAAGTCAGTAAGAGGTCCCAGGCGAAATCCAATATCTGGCGGATAGTTGCAGGCCTTGTTGATTTTATAGTATAGAGGGAGTAGACCTATATATATACACTGTATCTTTCATGGGGAGCGCCTATGAAAGAAAGTTTGAGATCACGAATAAGCTTATTTTCAGTATTTCATTAAATATGCATATTTGAATAAAACTATTGCGGAAACCATGTAACTGTCGATAATATAGATATATAAAATGAAAATGTAGAATGCAGAATTATTCGTAGTTTTCTTTACAGATACTTGCAGGATACCATAGAATCACTTCGTGTACATAGAAAATAGCTATGAAATAATAATGAATAGTTAACGCAAATTTGTTGCAAATTAATAATAATAATAATAATATTACTTTATTTAATGAGGGTAACCCTATTAGTGCAATGCACTAGTCTTCCTCGGGGCCCTCTATACATGGATAGTACAATTATGTATACAATAGTACAATAATTAGAAAAATTACAAGTATATTACATACGTGAGTTACATTTGGAAAAAAAGGAAAAAGAAAGTATATACAATGTATTATCAAAACATAGAAACAAGTTACTAATTAGGAAATGTTGCGTCCATTGATGATAAATTTTTCTACATTTTTACGAAAAGATTGTACAGTTGGGGAAAAACATACATGTAGAGGTAATTTGTTCCATAAATGAACGCCTGAATATTGAAAAGAATTTTTAAACAGATTTGTTCGATACTTTGGTAGACTAAGGTCATAAATGGATTCAGAGCGTAAAATATAATTATTGGAGGAAATAAATTCGAACGAGTCTCTCAGATAATCAGGTGTCATATCATGAAGTGTTTTCTAAAGCAGTATGTATTTATGAAAATCTATTAATTCATATACAGTCAGCCAACCAAGTTTCACAAATAATGGTTGTGATGGAGCATCTGGTGCCACATCTAATATAATTTTTACTGCTCTTTTTTGTAATTTAAAAACTCTTTCTATGCCAGCACCTGGAGCATTGCCCCATATAGTTAAGCAATAATTTAAAGATGGCAGAATGTATGCATTATAAAAAAGTTTCCGTGTGTGTAATGGGAGAAATTTTTTAATTTTACGTAATGTAAATAGTTTATACGTCAAGGACTTGCAAACAGAATCAATATGACTATATAGCGCAGTGAATGGTCAATATGTACTCCCAGGAGTTTTTCTGATTCAACATTTTTGAGAACTTTGTCTGATACACACAAATCTAATTTTGAAGATGTTAACTTAGATTTTCTATGCTGAGTTCCCATAAGCATACATTTTGTCTTCTCAATATTCAACATCATTTGATTTCTAGATCACCAGTCTTCAATCTCACACAAATCAACATTTACGGCATTTTCAATTCAGTGAGAGGCAAAAAAAAAAAAAATTCATTTATTGTTTTTGCAATACTTAAAAATTCAACTCTATTTTAACTTTAATAATGATAGATTTATTGTACATGTATGTTGTTTAACGTCACTCTCGAGAATTTGCCTGTGGATGTATTCGGCACTCAGGGTCATTGAGCAGTGAGAGATCTTTTTCGTGCCAGCACCTACTGCGAAACGGGACCTCGGGTTAAACGGTCTCACAGTGGTATTAGAACCCGCGACGTAAGGATCAACTTTTTACTTCGCGAATCTAAAGCAGACGCTCTCTAACCACCCGCCACGCGGGCGACTTCATGATCATTGAAGGAATTTTATCAACAATTAACTTTAATAAATCGATGAATAAAATCAAATCGAACAAGATGTGTTTGTGAAACACTTATGCCCCCGTATGGCAGTTTATAGCAAGGTTAAAGTTTCTCAAATGCAAGTCAAGCTCCAAGGTCTAAAGGACAAAATAGTTTGTATCCAAAGGAATGTGTTGTAACTAGGAATACACCTGTGAAATATGAAAGCTCTACAGAAACTGTTTACGAGTTAGTGCCAAGATTATTTTTTAAAATGAGGCTCAAACTCTAACCTTATCCTCATCGTGCCCACTGGCACATAGGGCCCCCAATACTCTGCTTCTACCTGTCTCTGCTACCTGTCTCTGTCTTTGGCTGCTGCCCACGCTGACGCCCAGCTATTCCATCCCAGCTGTAGCCTTTCTTGCTCCGTGTCCTTCCCCAAGTTGTTTTTGTTCGGCCTATTTTTCTCTTTCCTTAATTCTGAATGCCATGTCAATGAGGTGGTACATATCCTGATGTTATTCATCCTCAATACATGACCAATCCAATTACTCTTTCTGGGAGTAATTTTTCACTTGCTCTAGCTGTTTTTGTTTTATGATGGAATTCTTCATTTGACATTTTCTCAGGCCATCTTACTCTCAGGATCTTTCTAAGCCATCTATTCTGGAAGGTGTCAATTTTCCTTTTGTCTTTCTCCGTTGTTTCACTTCCTTATATTAGAACCGAAAGAACCAAGCTGTTAACAGTGGCGGATTCAGGGGGGGGGGGGGGTTCGGGAAAACCCCCCCCGCTCATTGATTTTTTTTTTTTTACAAGTGTCATTTTATCATTTATTTGCATTGATAAGACTTTAATAAACATGAATCCTTTATTTGTACAACTGTGAAACATACATCAACTACGTAACAGGAAATCACTTTCCTCTTGAACGCACACATTACACAGGTAATCAACAGAGAGAGTGCCTCAGAAATCGGGTAGTCCGTGCATCTACTGAAATCACAAGATCACAGTGCAACAATGTAGTCAGGTACCAACAACAGAAAACTGCATAGTTACGGTGCTGCTTGGTAATATTCTTTTGCTGATGAAATGCATGTAATGTTTTTTAAACTATGAAATCAATAATTAAACTATTATTCAGTTTTTTTCACTGTTCTAAAAATTAAATTAATATAATTTTTTTTACAAAACCAGGTTGGCTTAGCAAACCCCTCTAGTTTTGACAGATTCTCCAGTTTATGTAATTTTTTCTTCAGTTTGAAATCTCATTAATTGTACACGTGTGTTTATATTCCAAATCATATTGACAGTATATACTCAAATAAGTTGAAAAGCAATATTTAGGGATTCTGAAAAGAATTCAATTTTTAAATTTTAAGTGTTTAAAAATTTTGCACATTAGTTATATATCTTGGAAGTCAGCTTGACATACGACTAAATTAATTGTAGGTGCATTTAAAGTAAAGACAACTTGAAGTCAACTGCTTGTATTCCTAAAATTGTCAGATTTAACATTTTTTTAAAGCAAAGTCTAAAGTCTTGTGTTAAAGTTAAATTAAATTGAAAACATTTTATTAAAAATTTGTGATGATCGGTCTTTAAAAAAGCTACCCCCTAAAATGCTGGAAAATGAACCATTTAGAACCATTTAAAACAAAACCCGAACCCCCACCTATGGGAGGGGGACACCCCCTCCCATGCCCTCCCCCTTTGGGCCTCAACCCCCCCCCCCCCCCCCCACGTGAACTTCTGGATCCGCCACTGGTTAAATAACTTTTGTTTGGATGGAAAATTTTGATAGCTCCAGATTTTTCTGAGCCTTCCAAATTGAGACTTTTCTCAGTCTGTTGGTAATGTTCTCGTCAGATCCTCCCGTTGTCATTATCACACCTCCAAGGTAAGTAAATGTTTCTAAATCTTCCAGGCCTTGCTCATCAATCTTGACTGCCTCTATTATGTCAGTGTTTAAGCCTCATCACTTTGGTTTTTTCTCGATGTTTATTCGGAGGTCAGCTTGACTGGCATTTGACATTGACATTTAGTCTTTGTGTCTTCTGCTGGATGTCTTGAAATTTTGAGAAAAGTAAGGCAATATCATCTGCAAAGTCTAGATCTTCGAGTTTTGTTGTGAAAATCCACCTTATTCCTGTTGGTTCTGTTTCTGTAGTTCCTTTCATTACGTATTCTATAACCAACAGAAATAGGAATCCAGACATTTTGCAACCCTGCTTCACTCCTTTTGTTACCCGGAACCAGTCCGTTTCTTCTTGTAGGACTGCACACTAGAATGATTCATATAGGAGTTTCACCATTCTGACCAGTTTGTCTGGGATGCCATAAAACTTCATGATAGACCAAAGGCTCTCTCTGTGAATGGAATCAAATGCCTTTTCAAAGCCAACATAATATACAGAAAATGCTGATTTCCATTCGGTGCATTATTCTATGATGTTATACGGAGTGTAAATAGTTGTTCTATTGTACTCCTCCCTCTTCTGAAGCCAGCTTGTTCCTCGCGCAGCTGTTTTTCCATCTTGGATTCTTTGTATCACTATTCTGGAGAATACTTTGCTTGGTACAGACAAAAGTGTTCTCTCTAAGTAAATACTCTATAATTATCACATATCGATCAATCACCTTTCTTTGGAATCTTCACAGTCAGTGTGTATGGTATGGTTTCTTGTTTCCGGATTGTTGAAAATACTTTTTTTCCAAATATCTTGCTGTTGTTTCTGTGTATGCTTTTAACATTTCAGCTGTTATCCCATCTTCTCCTCCAGCTTTTCCATAGTTTAGTTTCTTTATAGCCTTGACTATTCCTTCTTTCCGTATGGGACTTGTATCCATCTCATCTAATCCTCGTTCTTCGCTTCCAACTTCTCATGGACGTATGGGTTGTGAGCTGAGCGGTTTAATATTTCTTGAATGTGTTCTTTCCACCTTTTCTTTCTTTCATCTTGACTGCTCAGGATCTTCATCCTTTATATGCTGTTGTAATGCTTTTCTTCTCATTACATGTACGTAGTACTCTAGTTGTCTCACACACCGTTTTCATATGTCCATTACGTGCTGCTCTTTCTGCTTTTGTAATCATGTCTTGTGTCCACTTTCTCCTGTCATTCCTCATACTGCGTTTTACCTCTGTCTTTAATTGAATATTTATTTCTTAAGCTTCTTTTTAACCTTTCTGATCTGCTGTTGGTGAATTGGCGTTTTAGCTGTTCCCTCTCTTCTACCACCTTCCAAGAGTCCCTACTTATCCAAGATTTTTGTTCCTTTTCTTTTACTCCAAGTTTGCTGTCTCGTTGTAACCTTTTATCATATTTTCCAAGATGTCTTCAAGACTTTGAAACCCTTCTAGCATTTGGAGTCTATTTTTCTGCTCCAATGTGAATGCTTCTTTTTCTTTAGCTCTTTAGCTGTTGTAATTTTGTGACATCATACTTCTTTCTGCGTGTGCCTGCATTTTGCTTTTGTCTCTTCAATTTTATTCTGATCTTACTCCTTATCAGTTCAGGATCACAGCTAGCATCGCATCATCTCCCTTGTATCTGAGATATATGTTCTTTATTGTTTTTATAAAAGCACAGGTTTTCTGTCTTTCCATCAAGCGAAATCCAGGAGATCTCTAAGGTCAATGTCAAAAGGTAACAAACAAATTCAAAGAATTATGGTTCACCGCTTTCGGTGTCTTTGTGGGTGAGATGTCATTTTTTATGACATATTGTGTCAAATTTGAACGCCCTATCATATGTCATTTAAAAATTATAACTGAAGTTAATTTTAGCTCTACTGGTCAGAGACCAGAAGAGCTTATGCGATGGTAAGGTGTCCGTCGTCCGTCCGTCTAGCTGTCCATCTGTCTGTAAACAAGTTTTCAAAATGCTACTCCTCCTACAGTTTTGCTCTGATTTCAATATAACTTGCCACACAAGTATACTATACTAAGATGCATAAACTAGTGCATCGGTTTTTGATTTCGCTGAACGGTATTGCCATGGTTACTAAGAATAGGAATTTCTGTAAAATTCCTTTAACCCCTTCCATGGTAAAGATTTTAAGCATTTCTACACAAATTGATAGTAAGATTTCGATGCATTTTTTTTCCGAGTATTTCTTGTAAGGTTTGTATATACCAATGTATATATATTCTGAAAGCAGGTATTGTGTAATTTCTGAAAATGATTATAAAAATATCATTTCAGTTGCCATGGCAACTAAATACACCATAATCATGCTGAAATTTCCATTCATTCAAGAATGACTTTCATTTTAGTTTTTTGTTTACTTAAATATATCTAAAATATTTTATTGTTGTGTTGAAAATTATGAGCATGTTGTATTTAAAAAAAAAAACAATTTTAAGTATTTTGGGGGGATGGGGTGGGGTTGGGAGTTATCGCCAGAATAAAGTATTTTAAAATATAACGTCTAACGGTGTTTTCCCCGCATTAATTTCAATAATGGCAAAATCGCTCAAATAGTGCACAAAGTTTAACTCAAGCTAGCAAAAATATGCTACAACTAATTAAACCAGAAGTCTCTGTCGAGACTGTATCTCTACTGGTTTATGCTTAAAACAAAGGAAGAGAAAAGTAGCAGTTTGGACTTGAAACTTCAAAACAGCAATAAATAGAAAAATGATCCTTGCCGCTCATCAAAATAAAAACCGATGCACAGAATTATGTATCTTAGTATAGTTTACTTGTGTGCCAAGTTACTAGTATACTGAAATCGGACCAAAAATGTAGGAGGAGTAGCATTTTGAAAGCTTTTCACAGAAATTTCTATTTTTAGTAACCATGGCAACACCGTTCATCGAAATCAAAAACCGATGCACAGAATTATGTATCTTAGTGTAGTCTACTTGTGTGCCAAGTTATATTGAAATCGGACCAAAACTAGCAGCAGTAGCATTTTGAAAAATTGTTTACAGACCGACAGACGGACGACGGACGCATTACTATCGCATAAGCTCTTCTGGTCTTTGACCAGTAGAGCTAAAAATGTTCTGTATATTATTCTATCATAAGTATGTTCTCTTTCCAACGATGCAAGAATTATTCTGATATTTGCAGTATTAACGAAATTATGAATGTTTGTCCACACTATACCCGTTTTTCAAGTCAGATGCGTAGAAACGCTATTCCTCCTACAGTTTTGGTCTTATTTCAGTATATCTTGGCACACGAGTTACATATTTTAGTGCATCGGTTTTTGATTTCGCTGAACGGTATGGTTACTAAAAATAGAAATTTGTGAAATTCCTTTAAAACGCTACTCCTCCTACAGTTTTCGTCTGATTTCAAGATAACTTGGCACAAAAGTTAACTACATTAAGATACTTAAACTACTGCACCGGTTTTTGATTTCAATGAACGGTGTCGCCATGGTTACTAAAAATAGAAATTTTTGTGAGATTTCTTTAAAACGCTACTCCTCCTACAATTATGGTCTGATTTCAATAAAATTTGGCACACAAGTAGACTACACTAAGAAACTAGTACATAATTCGATTTATTGCTGCCTGTTGCAAAGTTTCAAATTCAAGTGCTACTTTTCCTTTGTTACACGTAAAGACCAGTACACCTACAGTCTCATCAGAGACTTCTGGTTTGAAAATAAGGTCAATCATGAAGTTCAAGGTAAAAGGGTCAGAAATCATAACATGATCGGAAATATCTTGTCACAGGTAATGCACATGTCAAATATGAAACCCCTACTCTTCTAAATATAAGGAACAAGATGTGTTTATTCAGTACTTGTTATCAAGTGGTACTTTCTATTTGTTCACAAGGATACATTTATAAACTGTAAAAGTTTCAACTTTATAAACCAGTTTTTGACCTAATTTTAAAAATGAATTTTTGGACATGTTGACCTTTGGTTAAACCTTCAATGATGTTTTAATAATAAAAAAAAATTCTGCTGATTTTTTAACCTAAAATTTCAATTTTTTGTTCCATTCAATTCTGTTCTATTGCCAGGATTTTTAATTATAGAATACATGTGCAATATGATGATATAAGGGAAAAATATGTCATAAGTAGTTGTGTTTTTCCAAAATATATCAGTTTGATGGTCATTATTTTTGAATGTACATGTAACATGTATATTCATAGTGATATTTTTCTTATAGCTCTTGATGTTTGATTAATCATATGTTATTGTTATATTGTAAGCCTTTACGATATGAACTTTAAGGTAGGATTCTTCTCTGGTTTCTGTCTGGATGAAATATTCAAAGTATATTTGCTTATATATTTAGGTGTAAGAGATTTATAAGACCATATTATTCTTTCCTCATCACAATTTTAAATAGAAATGGTAAACTGCATTTGAAAACTAGCAGAGACTATATTTCTGGCGGAATGGTGGCGTATGAAAATATCTTCTTTTCTGCCTCTCAAAATTATTTTAGAACAATGAATTTAGTTATAATTTCTACATAATCAAAGACTTGAAGAAATTTTCAAATGTAAGTTAAATTAATCATAAGGGACTAAAGTTTCAAAATATATCAAATAAATATGAATTTTCAAACAAACTAGAATTATGTTAGCTTAAAAAAGCTATGTACAGATTTGAGCCAAAAATCCGTACAAGTATTTTTTCTCTCTAGTCTTAGTAAACGATCAATTTTTTTTTCTTTTGTATCATTTTGTATCTTTATTAGTGACAACTTTACCATATGTGAAAATAAGAAAAATTTTAATATTGGAAGTACATAAAAATTTTGTATAGTTTAATGGGTTTTTGATCTTGAGTACTGTTCGTTATCTCCATATGTTTCATTGCAAACTGTTGCTTACTTAATTTCAAATAGTACAAAACAATACGTTTAAACAATCCATGAATTTAATCGTTTTATTAAATGAGAAGAATCACTCAGGTAGTTTATAAAAATACTTGGAAGACAAGATTTTTAGAAGATGTAATAAAAATATAAAAATGATAAGTAATAAAATTGATAATTACTACATAGCTGAATATAAATGCTAAATGCAGTGTATAAAAATGAATACATTCATAACCTACAATCAAAATCACCATACTGACATAGTACAGGTATCGTGGATTGTAAAATGCTAAAATACTAATGAGAAATACCTGTATATTAATGCAACTTGCTTAAAACTCCAGCCCACTGATCACTATGTAATAGAACGTATTTCAAAGCTTCGTTATAAGAGGGCACTATGAGAGCTCTATTTCAACAAAACAAAACAAATCAACCTCCTTCACAATCCCCTACTGTAAGAGAGTATATTTCCAGAGCATTTTACTAACACAACAAAATATGCTAGAGGCATTGCAAGTCATTTAGGTGAAAAAGTTCATACATTCCTGTTACGTTGTTCAACAACCAAACCTTACAAGTATAAATTTCGTTGTTATTCTATTGTAATTTTTTGAGTATTTGTTATTTTATATCTTACATTTAGTTCGCTTTTTTCTTTGGTAGTTTTTTTTTTGGAAAGCTACGCATTCTTCATATTTAAACAAATCTAGAATATTATGGCATAATTATATATGCATGGATAATGTACAATGTATTCAGATAGAGAATCTGACTTGGATTTTTGAATGGCTCATCTTTTCCTTGTAAATAGAGTCAAACATGTCATTCTGGGCGACTGTGAACCAATTCTTCCAATCTGCAACTTGTCCTTACAAAATAATAAAATATTATATCAGTATAAAGCATTACTCAATTTGTGCATGGCATACTTAGCTTAATCTTATGAACTTTTATTACGTTTATGCCTTGATCATCAGACTGAGATAATATTTGTCCTTCTCTCTTTCTTTCAGTGTGGTTACATTCTTTATTCAAACTTTATCAAGCTGAAGTAAAGGTACAAATACCACTGAAAACATTTATGCCATTAAAATAAAGGACCTACTCCTGTATCGCACTGTATACTAGTACCACATCAGTTATTTACCATGTATAACAATTATCTTACGTTCTCCTAATTTTGAGATCAGCATATCACTAGAAAGATTAATCTCTTTCCTTTCTACGATATATCAATAATTAAATCCATTGCAGTGGAAATTTCATCCTACTTTTTGTTATTTTATCTAGATCCACCTCCATTTCTGTGATATTTTAACCCTACCTTTTGTGATTTTTTTCTAAATCCACCCTTACCTTTCCTATACATCCCTGGGTTGTTGTCTCTCCATTCTGATGGATCCTCCCCCGAGTTTTTCTCCTTTTTCATTTTATCAAACTGACAGAGACTGTTAATCTGCGTGACCAACTCCTCACTCACTTCCACATTCAAGAAGTCTGCTAAACGTTTTATTTCCTTAATGCTGTCCTATATAAAGTGAGAGGACATTTTTTTTTATTTCAATGAAGTTGACCGAAAGACAAATCATATGTAGATATTTACATTTGCAAATGTTTTCCTTTATATAACACTACTGAAGGCAAGCGTTTTTATAACTGTATAAATACAGGTAACGGGTAAGAGGTCATAGATTTTTTTGGATAAACGTTCGACGTAATTTCTCTGTGATGTCATAAAGGGTCGACGTGCGTTTAGTGGATTACATACATGCCGTTGGGTTTGAAAAATTAACGCATTTCACACGTTAAAAGTAACAATCAGGCAAATATAAAGTATGAATAAGTCACAAATGTAAATATAAGTAATAAGGAAGATTTGATCATGTGCCAACCCGTTTTACATCTCAATAAAACTCAAAAAATGAAACCTTATTTCTTAAATGTTACTTTTCTACTGCAACATTACCATGATTACAGGTCTTAATCCTCAACAGATTGAGGTGATTTATTGAATTGTATTCATTTGTTTATTTTCACTTTTAAACTCGACTTATCTATTGCACTGTGAACATAACTTTCTCCAGCTATTTGGTAAATTTCCCTTCGCCTTTGGAAACTTACCTCCTTCATATCTTCGTAATACATTGTATGGATAGGGTAACCTGGGTTTTCTTCTATGAACTTCTCCATCTCTAGAGTGTAGTCAAACCAGGACCCGTAATCAACTATCAAAACAGGTATAAAACTTTTATATTCTGAAGCTGTGGTAAATCTGGAACCCCATCTTATCAAGCAATGATCAACACACCGGTAGGTAAACCTTTCATTTAAGAGAGTTTCAGGACCTCAAGTCTATCTCATGGCTTTCACATTGGACTGCCGTGGTAAGTAAACTAAAACCATGGACTTATTATGAGATTGATCACTCGTCAAAAAGAAAAAAAAAAAAAACTGGACTATAGTCCATAAATTAAATTAACAATTAACTTTTCCATCGCTTTGGCGCATCTTTTTGGACTTGAACAAGACTTCTAAAATGTCGATACCACATTTATGAATTCAGTGTTCAATACTTTGACCTTCAATTTTCTCTCCAAAAAGATTTTTTGAAAAACCTAGTTTTGCGTTATTTAAATATACTTTATGTTTAAAAACTAACCTTTTCCTTTTAAAAACCGTTTGATGTAATCCTCCCATTCTCCGTCAAATTCGTACTCTAAAAGTTTCTTGTGATGGTTGTAAAATGAAACAGCAATATCTTTTGGATTTCTAATGATGTACAGAATTTTACACTTCTTATCAAAGAGGTCCCTGGGTAGATACTTGAAGTAAATATGAGTGTTCATGACCCTGGGAGACGCCAGATTGTCGAACGTGGCCTCTGTAAGACCCTCCATCATAGCGGTCTCTTTTATTTCTGGAATACGTTCTGCTTTCTGACGTACCAGCATGCTGGCGACTTCCCATAACCAGTGTGTTCCTACACAAAAATAATAATAAATAAATAAATAAATAAACAATTTTTAAAGATCTTTTTATTAAAATCATAAAATAATCTATCACAAGAGTATATGTCATTTACAGCTTTTCAGCTTAATTGTATGTTTAATATCAATGTTTTTCGTAACTGTGACGTAAAAATATATTAAAATTCATCTTTTTAATGAAAATCATAAAAATAATTTATTACAAGAGTATGTCATTTTTAGCTTAGTTTGTGTGTTTAAAATCATTGTTTTTCGTGAGTGTGACATAAAATTTATCAAATTTATCTATGCTCAAATCTAACAAAACTTAAAATACCGGCTTTTGGGTAGGCGCTGATTATGACGTCATCGTCGCGGGCTTTCCAGCCTGGCATTGACCGGAAGTGTTTCTCGTGGTCCTGAATAGGAAAGGTTGGAATATAGTAGCCATCGATGTCCATCACACGCAAGTGAGTGTCATCTCCCTCACTGCCCGATTTCAGCTTAATCTCTGGCATTTTATTTCTATCCCAAAGTCACTGTAATATAAATCATAGATTTTATTATAGCAGTGTTAAATTTGGGATAAATAACTGTACTTGACGGCGTATGGTGACACCGATAAAACTTTAAAGAGATAAGCCTAAGATATCGTCTACACTACTTGTGCGTCAGTTACTATTTTATCAGAAAAAAGTATAAAGTCAAAAGTAACTAAAATTGGCTTCTTTTGTTTCTGTTTCTAACTCTGTGTTTATATATTTAAAAAACAACCATTAAATTAGTAAAGCATTTTCATTTCCAATCATATACTATTATATATAATATATGTCGGGAAAAGGAGGTGTTGAGAAAAGAACGCACATATACTCTAGTAAATTTTATTCAAAGAAATGTGATCCGCCTCAGCAAGGTTTCAATAATCATTATGTAGAGTTGTCGGTACTGCGTACTGATTAAAAATAGTTTAAAACTTTTATTGGGATGCAAAAAAACAAATAATTGAATGCTTGCACTTAATTACAGCATATACCCATTGCAAATTTACATACCTTTAGTCTGTTCTCACTTCCACCTTACCGATCTGTTTTCTACATTCCATAGAATTAGGCCTAAAGGTGCCAGTGGGTGTCCTAGTTTACGAGAAGCTCATAAATGTTATGGAGTTACCTGCCCTTTAATAAGGTAACTGAATATTGTATACAAATTTTGTTTGGAAGACCAATTACATGTTCAGTTGTTCACAGTAAAACAAGGGATAGCAATCAAACACAGAATTGATTTAAACAATAAAATGCTTTCTTTTGCTGTTAGTACGGGGAATGATTCCATTGAATGTTACAGCTGCTGTAGAAATATATGCGTAACCCGCGCGTAAGCCCCCTTTTTTTTAATTGCCAATTTCGAGTTTTGACTATATTTATTTCATTTTGGGGGGAGGGGGGGGGAGGTGAAATTTTTTCTTTACATAAGCTGATTTTTTTGCCTCCCCCTTTAATTTCGTTTTTAATATACTCAGTGAGTCCCATGTAAAACAGATTTTGCAGCTCTCCACCTGCAAGTGGTTGCGTCTCCATATGAGTGAAAAATTCTCTCGAGGGACTTTAAACAACGCGAACAAACAAATTTCACTATAAGAGACGTTCTTTAGTAGCACCGAAATTCACATTTAATAAGATTAAAAAAAAAAAACAAACTCTTTTACATAACCCGATTTGTACGTCATGTATTTTTTTTTCAGCAAAACTGCTCCGTTGAATACACAAAAGGCATTTTTATTATTGTTTAAATAAAGACAGGTGTTTTTAAAGACATCATGTATCCTTTACAGGACTGCAGATAATCATTTATATTCTACAAGACTGCGATCAATGAGTCTGCTCATTTAGTGTTTAAAACAATGAAAGATACTGTATATATTGAGATAACGAACAGTATTGAGTTCAGAAATCCATTCAACAGGCGCGGCTCCAGGAACTTTTTCCAGAGGGGGGTCCACATGGGTCACCTGAGAAGCTTTGACCATTCTGTTCTTTACCAGATTTCCCCCTTGTAATACATATTGCCACCCCACACTACCCCACTGATCATGATTTAGACATTTTGAAATCTATATTACCCCAGGATGCTTCCATGTGCACATAAGTTTCAGCTTTTCTGGCCCAGAGGTTCTTGAGTAGAAGATTTTCAAAGATTTTTCCTATATATTGCTATGTAAAACTTTGATTCCCCATTGTGGCCCCGCCCAACCCCGGGGGTCATGATTTTAACAATTTAGAATCTTTACTATCCCAGCATGCTTCCACATAAGTTTCAGCTTTTCTGGCCCAGTGGTTCTTGAGTAGAAGATTTTCAAAGATTTTTCTGATATATTTCTATGTAAAACTTTGATTCCCCATTGTTGCCCCGCCCTACCCCCCGGGGGTCATGATTTGAACAATTTAGAATCTACACTACCCCAGGATGCTTCCATATAAGTTCCAGCTTATCTGGCTCAGTGGTTCTTTAGAAGAAGATTTTCACAGATTTTTCCTATATATTTCTATGTAAAACTTTGATTCCCCATTGTGGCCCCGCCCTACCCCCGGGGGTCATGATTTGAACAATTTAGAATCTACACTGCCCCAAGATGCTTCCACATAAGTTTCAGCTTTTCTGGCTCAGTGGTTCTTGAGAAGAAGACTTTCAAAGATTTTTTCTATATATTTCTATGTAAAACTTTGATTCCCCATTGTGGCCCCGCCCTACCCCCGGGGGTCATGATTTTAAAAATTTAGAATCTACACTACACCAGGATGCTTCCACATAAGTTTCAGCTTTTCTGGCCCAGTGGTTCTTGAGAAGAAGATTTTCAAAGATTTTCCAATACGTTTCTATGTAAAACTTTGATTCCCCATTGTGGCCACGCCCTACCCCCGGGGGTCATGATTTTAAAAATTTAGAATCTACACTACACCAGGATGCTTCCACATAAGTTTCAGCTTTTCTGGCCCAGTGGTTCTTAAGAAAAAGATTTTCAAAGATTTTTCCTATACAATTTCTATGTAAAACTGTGATTCCCCATTGTGGCCACGCCCTACCCCCGGGGGTCATGATTTTAAAAATTTAGAATCTACACTACACCAGGATGCTTCCACATAAGTTTCAGCTTTTCTGGCCCAGTGGTTCTTAAGAAAAAGATTTTCAAAGATTTTTCCTATACAATTTCTATGTAAAACTGTGATTCCCCATTGTGGGGCCGCCCTACCCCCGGGGGTCCTGATTTGAACAATTTAGAATCCACACTACCCAGGATGCTTCCACATAAGTTTCAGCTTTTCTGGCCCAGTGGTTCTTGAGAAGAAGATTTTCAAAGATTTTCCAATACGTTTCTATGTAAAACTTTGATTCCCCATTGTGGCCCCGCCCTACCCCCGGGGGTCATGATTTGAACAATTTAAAATCTACACTACCCCAGGATGCTTCCACATAAGTTTCAGCTTTTCTGGCCCAGTTGTTCTTGAGAAGATTTTTTAATGACCCCACCCTATTTTTGTCTTTTCTTGATTATCTCCCCTTATGAGGGGACTTGGCCCTTCATTTTAACAATTTAAATTCTCCTTCACCCAAGGATGCTTTGTACCAAGTTTGGTCAAAATTGGCTCAGTGGTTCTTGAGAAGTCGAAAATGTGAAAAGTTAACAGACGGACAGACAGACGGACGGACGACGGACAAAATGTGATCGGACAAAATGTGATCAGAAAAGCTCACTTGAGCCTTCGGCTCAGGTGAGCTAAAAATAAATAAAAAAAAAAAAAAAAAAAAAAAACCAAACAAACAAAACAAAACTTATTTCCTAAGGTGAAAATCTTATTTCGCGTGTGTCTGTGAGAGAGTGAGAGAGGGAGAGGGTGTGTGTGTGTGTGTGTGTGTGTGTGTGTGTGTGCATTATTACTGACTTTTAAAGTTAAATAGCTTTCACCTTTTCATACCATTTCACTGCAAATTCCATAACCCCTCCCCCTAGACCCGCGCATGATTTAACATTACAAAATAGGAACGGAGGAAACACGGACCTCCAAAACATCAGAGGTCGGATCAGGTGCAATGGAGGAGTGAGCATCCCCTGTCGACAGGGCACACCCGCCTTGTGTTCCTTGTCATGATTCGTAAATAACGGAAAATCCATGGACAACTCAATATGTTAATAATAGCCTAACAATCAGTATGCAAACGCCAGCCGCAGTATTTGACTTCATGATAAATTGTATTTGCTGGCAAAGTATCATGTTTTATTCATCACACTCGATTACGGAAGCAATGAAAAAAAAACAATCATCTGAGGATATTCAATAATTTCCCCAGTGCACAGTTTTAAATGATACCACATAGTTTTGATTTTTATAAAAGAGAAGTTAATTTATAAAACATTCTCAAATGTACTGGTGCGAGTTCATCTTCAGCAAAGGTATTTCAGTTTTACCAATAAACATGTAGATATAAACGTAGCCACACTAAGCTCACTTGATTGGACGAATACCACCATTACCAGGGAATTTGAAATAACTAGATACAAATACATCTGATGAAACTGTAAGTTTATATATATCCAGTGCTCTAGCAGACTTGATACACGATGTCAGATCACATGACTTAATACAAGATGTCAGATCATGTGACTTGATACAGACGTCAAATAACATGACCTGATACAGACGTCAAATCACATGACTTGATACACGATGTCAGATCACATGACTTGATACAGAATGTTAGATCATGTGACTTGATACACGATGTCAGATCACATGACTTGATACACGATGTCAGATCACATGACTTGATACAGACGTCCGATCACATGACTTGATACAGATGGATTTGTGGAAGTTCTGAGTCCTCGGAATCTTGGTCGCCATACAGCAACAGGTTAGCCTTTCGAGTTATCTCCCCTGTAGGTATCTCTTGTATCCAGGACCCCAGGTCTAAAGGTAACTACACAGAAAAATAAAATACACGTAAAATCACCGAATCATAATGTTCATAGTTAAAAATAAAAATTCAACTGCATGACATTGAAGTACACTACTTGAAAACTTTAAACACCACTTAATATTTAAAAGTAATCTTGCATTTCAATTTTTATTACTTTTTGCAAATGGTGTTAAAATAATCTATCAACAAAAGTAGTACATGCCATTTTTGATGGTGTAGCCCACAGGCACTTGTTTATGTACTGAATTTTTATCAAAGATTCGGGGGTATAAAGGTTTTGACCTGTCTTTCTGTTTGTATATTTGTCCGCAAAAAACTTGAACCTTGTCCATAACTTTTGAGTGGAAGGGGTTAGGGCTTTCATATTTTTTCACAGCTGCCTGTCTGCATAGCTGGAAATATCTAACGTTTTCCAGGCTTTTTCATTTTACTATTTCGATATTTTATACACGCTAGGAAAACGTAGAACCGGCGCCATTACAAAAACTGGGAATTCGCCACCGGAGGCAGGATTTTAGGGTGGATTATAGATACTTCTCACTGTTAGATACTTACATTCGTTAGTACTACAAGCATTGTACTATTGATAAATGCCGATTTTGGTATTAATTCGGTTCGCAAGCACAGGCACTTGTTTCGAAAATAAATTTTAATCCATTGTATAATAACACGTGTTATTATTAGACTATGGGTTAAAAAATTTATTTCTGAAACAAGTGCCTGTGTTCGCAAGTAACGGTTGGATACGGCGAAATTTCCAGTTTCCGTAAAGACGCCGGCTCTGACGTTTTCCTGGCACGTAAAATAATATATCAAAATCGTCAAAAAGCCCGGAAAACGTCAGATATTTCGGACTAGTGTATTCATTCAGACAAGACCTTTCTTCATGTATCACGTAATTTGATCTCTTGACTACAGGCACTTGACGTTCCAAGCGCATGTGCTCTTGACCTTGAAGTTTGACCCATTTTTACTACAAAATATCAAATTTTAACCTTGGCCATAACTTTTGAATAGTTGGCGCTAAGGTTTTCATATTGTGACAAGACCTTTCAATGGGTATAAATATGTTTGACCTTTTGACATTAACCTTAGGGTTTAACCCACTTTTAAAAACCTTTAACCTTGACAATAACTTCTGAACACTTAGTACTAAGGCTTTCATAATTCACAGGTGTATTTCTTGTGACAAGACCT